ATGAGATGTTTGCATATTAGCCATGTGAGGTAGAAGTAATAAGAGCAATCTTTTTATATCTCGAAGAAATGTATGCATGGAAACATTTCTTATCAGTTTAACGTCATGCTGCTTTGCAAAAACTGAGTGCTCTTTTCTGTTTAAGAAAGAAAAAAGAAATTTGGATGGTTTTGTTCAGCTTCACACACTACAAAGCAACCTAGATGCGATTAGGACGGAATTTCAAATAACTATACAACTTAGCGACGAAATTTTTTTACTTGGTTTTTGACTCTCTACGTTTTGCAACAGAGAAGGGTTTTTTTTTTTTGGCCAACAGAGAAGGGATTTTTTTTTTGCCAAAAAACAGAAAAGGGATTCAAACTCGATGTTTTTGGTGTGAAAATAACTTGATGGGAAAGTTGTATATTTAAATTTATTAGTATATAAATAGAAAAGAATATTTTGATGCGAGACATTAATTGAAACCGTATCTTCATCGGGTCAACCACGCGTCTTCGATCTCACACCCAAAATCTAGGTAACGTACATTTCCCAAACTATGAACCTCGAATCTTTCTTTTTTTTTTTTTTAACGCTTAATTAACAAAACGACCCACGTGACCGGTACCATTTATTTATATCTATAACTTGACACTTAATTGAGTTATATATTTTTAATTTTTATCAGAATAATTAAATAAAAAATGTATTTATTTTTTATGTGTTTTATTTTAGGGAAAAATAACAAAAAAAGAAGCTAAAATTACTGCATACCAGATAAAAATATCAACAAAAATTTGTTATCATTTACAAATTCTATATTATCAACATCAAATAAAATATCATTATCAAACTTGATTTAGGATTTTGTAATTTTTATTTTTTTTGTCATTTCCCCTTATTTTCATTGAATTCTCTTGGCTACATTAATTGAGTTAGATCTGTGTGGGGGGGGGTGAATATTTTTTTCCCAATATGGGATAAGAACTTACAATCTTCTTTTCTTTTCTTTTTTAACCAAATTCCTTAAAATTAATCACATATAAAAATAATGGTATGAAAATGTAAATGTAGATACTCCCTCCATTCTTTATTATAAGAGACAAATAACCAAATTACACTGATCAAAAAAATAGTTAAAATTAATTGAGGATAATTAATGTGTAAAAAGTATAATATTTTTTCCAACAATGCCCTCATTAATAAGGAGAGAAAGTATGAGAAAGAATAATTAAATTATTAAAAAAAAGAGAAGTGGGAGGGAGAGAGAGTATGAGTTGGAGACAAAATAAATAGGGGTAAAATAAAAAATCAATATAAAAAAATAGAGACAACTTTTAAGTGTCTCTTATATATGAGAACATGCTATAAACATCAAATATCTCTTATAATAAGAAACGGAGGGAGTATAATTTTAACGTTAAGTTTAATGAAACTCTATTCCTCACTCATCATTTGTCAGCCAAAATTCCGTGCCGTAGCGAGGGGGGGTTTTTTCCCCCTTAAGTAAATGAATGGCATTTTGGTAGTTGACTAGGAAGATTGAATTTAGGATCCGTTTAAAATATCTTATAAATAATTTTTTAATTATAATTTATGAAATACGAGATAAGTATGTAAGAGAAATTTTATCGATTTACACAAAAAGTGTTTATAGGTGTTTTTAAATCCTATCCTAAACAGACTTTTAGTCGTTTGGTCCTACGGTGAAATTTAAAAACTGTGATTATAGTTCACTAATTTGTCACATTGTAGATCCTCAAAGAAATTCTCCGTAAAATATAAAATTCACACTTAGCATATAGTAATTTTTTTTATTCAAAAGGTTAGGTGGGGTTCCAAAAAACTAATCAAACATCACAAAAAATCTCTAGACTGAAAAAAAAAACATAAATATGTTTATAAATTATAAATTGTTTGTTAATAAGTCAATCAATAGCAAAATTTCAATTTACAGGTAAAATACTTACCATTTTTTTGGCCGACAACAATAAAGTTCTTATCAAAAGTATATCATTAACAAAGCATCCTCCAACCACCATATGGCTTTATGTAACTTTTATATGCTATTACTACTTTTTACGCGTCTCATTTGGCCGCACACAAATTTATTTTGATTCCTGTGGATATTTTATATTTATGTATACAATTTAATGGGATCAACTTATATGTTAGAAAAATATTCCCGCGACCTTTAAGAGCTTTTTAAAAGGCTATCTCTTTCTTTCAGCTATATATGTATGGCGCAAAGTTATTCGTTGTAATAAATAAGCACAGTTTTTAGAAAATAAATTAATAACAATAAGGCAATGTTTTGCACATGTTTGGCACATAGGTAGGAGACAAATAGGCGGGGCGTAAAAAAAGGCTAGTGCGGTTCAAGAATTGGCCCCGCACGGCCATTGTTGGCCTCAGCTGAAAAATAACAACCAAGTGTTCCTTATTTTAATTTTATGGTCGCAATCTCTGAACAAGCGATAAGATCTCTCATGGCGCCATACGCATCGCAAGTTTATTAAAAAAAAAAAAAAAAAGAGGAAAAAAGCTGAGAAGTAATTGACCATATGTATGAGCGGGGACATATTATTAATTATTGTAGGTGCCAAATCATGGCTCCATCGTCTCAATCAAATAATTACTCCATAAAACTAATTTTGTACTATAAGTTATATTATAAAATAGTTCTCATATTTAGAATAAGAGGAATAATTCTTAGTCATCAAGTTTGGTTTGGAGAAGTAATAATAACAAGTGACCTGATCTTGGTACGACGTGATGATATATGTTGTGTGAGTAGGGAGGAGTTCTTGGCTTAGAGTTGAGCATCACGTCAAAGTGACAATATATATACTACCTCCGTTTCTTATTATAAGAGTTTGTTTGACTTTTAATTTAATCTTAAATATGAGATACTCCTCCAATCCTAATATAAGACCCATTTAACTAATTGATTAGATTAGGTAAGTTAGTTAATTATAAGAAAAGTGACATATTTTTCCTAAAATACATAATCATCTTTCTTAATACCCCTCTTCCTCTTCTATTTGATTATGGTTGAAGGAGTATCTACATGGGTAATTTAGAGAAAATTGATAAATATGAGAAATGGGTTTTATATTTAGGACCAAAACCAACTCAAGAATTGGGTTCTATATTAAGGACCGGAGGAGTATTATATATACATACACACACGCCCACGGAGTATCTCTTGTGTTTATTATAAAACCTAGTTAACTAATTTATATAGATTAAAAAAATTAGTTAAGTTAGTTATTTATTATAAATAGGTATTATCTTTTCTAAAACACCCTTGTTAATCATGTATATTACCTAGAGTTACGATTTCATGAAACATTTCATATGTGCAACAACTTTAAGGACTACTTTCAAAAAAATGAATAAATATAAAAGATAAAGTAAATTGGTATTCCTCCGGTCCTTAATATATGACCCAATTCTTGAGTTGGTTTTGGTCCTAAATATAAGACCCATTTCTCATATTTATCAATTTTCTCTAAATTACCCCTATAGATACTCCTTCAACCATAATCAAATAGAAGAAGAAGAGGGGTATTAAGAAAGATGATTATGGTGTTTTAGGAAAAATATGTCACTTTTCTTATAATTAACTAGTTTACTTAATTTTTTTATCTAATCAAATTAGTTAAATGAGTCTTATATTAAAGACCGGAGGAGTATCAAAGCTGTTAGATTTGATGAGATGCGAGGCTTGGGCCCGAACTGCTGCTATATCAATTGCAAAGACAAGCCACTTCTTCATCACAGCAGGCTGTATGTCCATCAATGAATATGCTCACTTTTGTCCGCCTATTCTTGAAAGGGGACCGTCGGTTGAAGAGCAACACAGCTTTATTGGAAGCCTTTGAGAGCATCGCGTGACGCGTCATCAATTATAGTCAGGTACAATATGTTAAAAAGTACAAAGAGAAAATTAGTTTTTTGTCCGCTTAATTTTTGACTTTACTGCAACTCCATCTTTCGATTTCAATTTGGTATGACTTAGGGTGAGTTTGGAATGACGAATTTGGAGGGAAGGAGAGAGAAGAAAGGATTTTAATTATTTTTTCTTATTTGACAATACACAAATTTTTAGGAGGAGAAGAAAATTTTTTATAAAATTTTTCCTCCCCCTCCTCAACCTCCCTTTAAAAATTGAAAGGATTTAAAAAGAAAATGTAATATTTTACCATGTTATGATTATTATGTCCAAATTTATTTTTAATGTTCCTATACTAATCCTTTTCTTTTTGTTTCCAAACGCTGCTCTCTTCTTTGTATAACCAACTATTTTATTAAAAAATGGGATGTAGGACGAGTTGTGACCGAACATTACTTCAACCTTCTTTTCAATAACACTTTACGCTCTGGAGTATATTAGAATTTTGGTATAAGTATTGCTCAATATATTAAATGTTATTTACAATTCTATTTTATTAAACATTCTATAAAATTTGAAAAAATAATCTTAAATAACATAAGGACAAAATTATCCATGTTAAAATATTTTTTCCTTTTCTCTCCTCACGAATCAAACAAGATAATATTAAAATTCCTTCCCTCTCTTCTTTTTTTATAAATCTAAACAAGGTAATATTAAATTCCTTCCACTCTCTTCCCCTCCCCTTCCTTTGTTAAAATCCCTTCCCTTCCTTTTCTCTCATCGAGCCAAACAGACCCTTAGTATCTATAACTTTAATTCACGGTTATAACTCAACTCTTAAATCTTTTTTTAAGCACATATATATTTTTAGTGGAGTATATTTTACTCGAAACACTGTTAGACACTCAATATAAACACCTCTTTCATTAGAATTTAAATTTTAGTTTGTCATGTTATAAGAGACTAATCTCTTTCTGCAAAATCCAATCTCTAAATTTTAATTCAACGTAATTCGGTCTATATAATTTAATAATTTAAAATATTAGCCTCCTGTATTTAAAAAAAATAGAATTATATATTTGCCCAATATATAAATTAGCTAGCGTGGCAATATGTCAGAGGCTATTAGAGCAGGAGTGTGGAAAGGAAAGGAAGTGGTGGAAGCATGGAATGGCGAGTAGGAGCAGCGTGGATATGGTGCCTGTTGGTGGTGTGGACAGCGCCGTCGTGCCACTGCCATGTGCATCGGAAATTGGGGGCTCTCCGTCAGGGATCCAGCGGCGTGAGTAGCAGCTCCTCCAGCAACTCGTCATACGCCGTCATACTGGACGGTGGCAGCACGGGGACTCGCATTCATGTGTTCCACTTCGACCAGAGCTTGCAGCTGCTTTACATCGGCGACGGTTTAGAGTACTACTACAAGGTTAATTGCTTATTAGTTTGATGTATGTTGATGATGAGTTTGAACGGTAAGAGTAAAGAATGAACAAATGGATGCATCAGGTGACGCCGGGGTTGAGTTCGTACGCAGATAATCCGGAGGAGGCGGGGGAGTCGTTGCTGCCGTTGCTGAGGAAAGCGGAGAATGTTATTCCGGAGGAGTCTCGCTCCGCCACGCCGCTCAGGCTTGGGGTCACCAGCTTTTCCCTCCTCTTTGTCTCTCTATATGTATATATAGCTTCATTCATTTGTTGACCCAGCCGCTGCTTCCTTCTCATGATGCAGGCTACTGCGGGTTTGAGATCTCTGGGCTCCCATACTGCCGAGCTCATCTTGCAGGCCGTAAGTAACTCTCCCCCAAATCCCCATGCATTTACACACCTACCATGTCTTTATTGTTTTAGCTTATTGAAACAAGGGATTTTTAAGGTTAAAAAAAAAAAGAGAAAGAAACAAGGGATTTTTAAGTCGTTTTAAAGCAGTATGAGTTCTTCACAGGCCGTTCATATAAATTTTAGTTCAGGTTTGAATTAATAGCGTCGTGACCGTTTCTCCCCCTCCCCCCCCCAAAGTTATTTAAGTAGATACTCTCTCGATCCTTAATATATGACTCAGTTTCTGAGTTGGTTTTAGTCCTAAATATCATATCCATTTATCATATTTATCAGTTTTTTCTAAATTATTTCTATGGATACTTCCTCAACCATAATCAAGTAAAAAAAAGAGAGGGGTATTAAAAAAGATGATTATGGTGTTTTAAGAAAGATGTGTCACTTTTCTTATAATTAACTAACTTACTTAATTTCCTTAATCTGATCAAATTAGTTAAATGAGTTTTATATTAGGGATCGAAGGAGTATTATATATTTCTGACCCCTCCAAATTTATACAAACTTAAAATTATGTACGTTTTTCAATTTCGACCTACCCATCACTAAATCACAGCCACACGCATGTATCTTATGATGCGCTGCTATACATGTCTGGGGTCATATTTTTCACATTTTTAAGCTACCATATTTTAGCAAGCACGCACAGCTTTTTAAAGTCGTAGAAAGAAAGTAATTTCTTGAATTTAATGGGAAGTGGTTTTCTTTAAATTACTTTTTGAATCAAGTAAAAGTATGAACTAGTTTTGGTACTCGATATATATAGTTTTCATTATGATTTTTTTTACCTTCGTCTTTTTCAATCATCAAGTCACCCCCTAATTTCCCGAATACCTGGAGAGTTGTATCTCTGGATTGTATCTTGACAGTAAAAATATTGATATCAATATAAATGTTGATTTTTGTATATGTTATTTATTGAAATCAGTGTTTGCTCACAAATTCAATTAAAAAAAAGTACAATGTCGGAGGCAAATCAAACATGATCTAAAATTAATTTGTTTGAACAAAAAAATTTGATAGTAAAATTTAAAAAAAAAACATTTTAAAATTAATCGCCGAGCTTCGATTCTTCTCCCAAAAGACATCATTAGATTAATGATGCTGATATGCTTTAAAAAATTTTCTCGCACGTTGGGCCAACGAACGAACCGTTTTAAATTGTCGTTTCTGGACAGCGATCAGTTTTCTGTGTCATGGACGCGCGGTAAAATAACTAGGGGGGCCACCGTTTGTCATTCACGTTATTAGCAGGGAGAATTACATGGAGGTCCAAGTAAAGAAAAAAATTATATTGAAAAACAAATATCAGAGGTTGTTATTCTCATTATAAAACTTGTCATTATAAGCCGTTAGGATTATTATTGAGACTTTTTAGTAATTATTTCTCTTCTGTGAGACTTAATTGTAATTCTTCTTATTAGTATGAATGCATGATCGTGACAGGGAAGCATGAGGACCACGTTTTGTCTCCTACGCTACGATATATTCTGCTGTTCTCAGTGGCATAAATAATAACATGAATCAATAATTATCCTTTATTCTTGTAAATTTTAATTATTAATAACAATACTAATAATAAATTGCCTTCAATTTAATTTCCCAAAGGTTAGGGATGTCGTGAGGAGCAATAGCTCGTTTGCGGTGGAGTCTGATGATGCGATTGCCGTTCTTAGTGGAAACCAAGAGGGATATTATCTATGGGTAAGCTCATCATGGCCTTCATTAATTATATTTACATCCCCCACAATGCATTCATTCGTTTGTCTCCTTGGACCTCATTATTTGGCTTGTGTAAGGAATCGTCCATACATAATAAATTAATGATATAGCTACGTACCATCAATTATACTCATGCCGACTCTCTTCTTATTCATAAATTGCTTGTATTTCAAATGTAGTAAATTTATATTTTTTTTTTCACATTTGCCTTTATTAAAGAAAGGGTATTAAAAGTACTCCCATAGTCTTATTTATAGGATATAAAAAGAAGAAATTTTATTGGTCCTCTTCATAGGATAGGGAGAAAAATTCTCATATAATTAACATATAATTTTATTCTTCATTTAATATTGTTTTGACTTTGTTCTTATAAGGTATATTAAATAGGAATAAAATTAAAAATTTATTAAATTTTAAATGAGAATTAATAAAGTTAAGGTTTTTTTTCTTAGTTTACGTGAAACATGTTGGAAATGATTATAAATAAACCAAAAGAGTCTGTTTTATATCTTCTCTCGTATATTTATCTTATCTTTCTCTATATTTATTAAGTCCAGAAGGGAAAAATTGGAAAAAGCTCATTACTAATTACTTATGAATTTTTTTTAAACTACAAGTCACTTATAAGTAGATTAGTAAGGAATTGACATGCTTAGAGCTGAGTTAGACATAATACAGCAGTGGAACTTGATAAAAAAGATGAATTGGGAATATGATGGGCATGAAATTGGAACAGGTGACGGTGAACTATCTACTGAATAAGCTGGGAGAAGGGTATGCAGAGACAATAGGAGTGGCAGATCTGGGAGGCGGATCTGTTCAAATGGCTTATGCCATCTCAGAGGATGTTGCTGCTAATGCTCCTCAGAATGCACCTAACGGTGACGCTTACGTTACTAAGATTTCCCTCGCTGGTTCCACCTACCACATTTACGTTCACAGTTACTTGAACTTTGGCAAAGAAGCATCCCGTGCGCAGATCTTAAAGCTCACCGGTGATTCTGACAACCCTTGCATTTTAACTGGCTTCAGTGGTAATGATTTAACTGATACATCCATCCTAAGTTATAACTTTAATTTCCCTTCTAAACTAAAGAAACCTTGCAACTGAACTCTGATCTGTTGATTACTGGAAATGGGAATCAAGGGACCTACGAGTACGAAAACGTGAAGTACAAAGCGTCGGCGCCGGCGAACGGGTCAAGCTACAGTGAATGCAGGAACACAGTGCTGAAGCTTTTTGATTTCACCACATGTGCGCATAAGAACTGCACATTTGGGGGGGTTTGGAACGGTGGAGGAGGACCGGGCCAGAAAAATCTCTACCTTGCCACTTCTTTCTATTACCTAGCCATCGACGTACACATATATGCCTATCCCTCGTATTAATTGATATTGCTTTCATTGCTTTATAATTTACAGTTGTTCAACCCCTGCTAATTCATATATATATATATAGGCGGGTTTTGCTGACCCAAACAAAACGAGCGGCCAGGTTCGTCTGATAGATTATAAGATAACGGCGGAGCTTGCCTGTAAGACAACATACGAGGAGGCCAAAACCACCTTCCCGCATAATGCCGAAGACGTGCTTGCATATACCTGCATGGATCTCGTATACCAGTACACCCTGCTGGTCGATGGATTTGGTACGCCTTGGGGATTCAATATTCAATATGATAATAATAATATAATTATCACTGTATCAATAATAATGATGGGAGGTTCTAATTAATGGCTTGGTTGGCAGGGTTGGATCCATGGGAGGTGGTGACGGTTGCGAAGGAGATAGAGTACAAGGGCTCCTCCTTGGATGCATCGTGGGCCCTAGGCAGCGCCATCGAGTCTATTTCTTCTGTATCTGAATTCCAACACTAATGTACGTCCTGTAATGTAATATGCGTGCTAGCTGTGTTGGTAAACCATCTGTACTGGAGTGAAGAGCTACCTGCATGAGTCGTGTCAGACATGCATGATGTGTTCAATAAAGCTCCCCCTTTTCTATTATCTCTCTCAGAGGTCCCTGTCTGTGATTGAACAAGATAGTCGTGCCGTGATGTTGGGCATCATTCTGATTCACCTGTCTCGTCCTCGCCTACTCCATGCGTCTCTTTTTAATTTATCAGCAATCTTGAATTGCATAACATAAACATAAAAATGAGTTAAAGATAATAAATAGATAGAAGTTGAAATTTTTTTCCTCAAAATATCATTATTTTTGGGCAGGGGGAGTATAAGAGAGAAAATTAAAAAATTGTTATAATAGAGAATTGTATTAAAAAAAAAGAGAACTTGAATGGAGAGATTATGGTCCGAAAAACAAGATAATAAATATATTAGATATTAGAATGTGTAATTAATAAGGGTAAAATAAAAATTTGTTATAAAAATCTAAAACAACTTGTAGATGTTGCTTATATTTAGAGATAAAAAGAGAATGATAGCTGTTGCTTATAATAAAAGACGAAGGGAGTGCTATTAATTTATTATTGTTTTATACTAAGCACTATTATTTTTTATTGGAGACAATTTTTTTGAAATATTATTAGATATTTAATGTGGGTACAAATCTCAGTAAAATTTAAACACTGATCCGTTAGATTCAGCCCCGTTCGGTGCCTGCTATTTAAAACACATGAGAAATGAAATCTTTTGTAAATTAGTCATGGATAGGAAAAATGAGCTGTATGACCCAACTGCTTGTCAAGAAACAGCCTATACTGGAACTTGCATGTTGGCCCAGAGCAACTAGAAGCAGTTTGGGCAAGAAATGAGCGAGAAGTGAGCCGCGTGGGACGACGGACACTGTGGGTGCATGATTGTTTTTGGGTCAAGTTTATTCACATGTGGACGTGCTTCCTTGACTTGACATTGAACTGGGCTTCAGACAAGCTTCCCTTGGGCCCAAATTGGGAGTGAATGGGCTGATTGTGAGGGCCCAAGCCAGTTGCATGATGTCAAGTTTAAACCCATCGTACAGAACAGGATGCTGGTTGGATAAGCAGAGACCAAGTCAAAGAGTTGGTGGATTGTTCCTTCATGGCATAACTGAGTTGGCTAGCAATTAGGAAATGATGTGGAAAATCACAGGGATCGGGTTCTGATTCATATCCTACCATTACATTATTATTCCATTCGAATTTGTAGACCTGTTCGATTCTCAACAAGTCCATCCCTCTAGAAACATGGGACGACTCTTCACTGCTTGGCAGAACATCAACAGAATGTTTTTCATATCTATTTATTTAGATTTTGTAGCTAGTAGAACAATTGAGAGTCCTCAGTGACTGATTTAATTTCTCCCTGGTTAAAAATTTGTTGAAAATACATAATTTAATTTATGAGAACATAAAAATTTGTTGAAAATACATAATTTAATTTATGAGAACAATTCTAGAAAAAATTGAATTATTATCATTTGATTAATAACTTTTTTGATGTCACTGATAAACTCAAATTGACAGTTTTGAAAAAACATAATCAAAGGGTTAATTAAAATGAAAATTTTCATGATGAGAAGGAGCCATAATCAATCAAACGTATACACTATAAACTGGATTTGGATATCCTCTCCATCAGACTTTTCTCTTCTTACTAATTAATTTAAGAGTAAAATACTCTGACCTCCCTTCTCTTTTGTCTTAATTACATAGACCTCCTCTCTATTTTGATAACATATATTTTAGTCCAAGCCATTAACATGATTAAGGAATATTCTGAAAAGATTCTTTATATATATGTTTTTTAATTTAAAAAATATTAGAATAAACCTTGTTTTCTACTTTACCTCTTATTATTCTAAACTATTCGCTCAGTTATCTTTTTTATTTAACCATGCGATTAAATCACTGATTATGACCTTAAACTAAATATACTATTCATTTAATTATTACCTTAAAAACATTTAATTATTAAAAAGTGTATACTGAAGTGCCGGTAATAGTAGTAAATATAGAGCCATTAAATAATTGAATGAATGGATAAGACTGGATATGAAGAGAAGTATAGAGGGGAATTATGAAGAGGGTCAAGATCGAAAATTTGACTTTGAAGATATTAAAAGGAGACAAAGTTCTAACAGGATTAGAGGCCCTTCCCACTTTGTTCTTATTCTATTTTTTATTGAATCGTCGAACGATAAAATTATATATGATTTGCTCTACATTTTACGTGGTTTCACTTAGTTACTATAGACAGAGAACACAAATAATTTCTCACTGTCAGAAAGTGCTTTGCAAGCAAAGCATCTAGTAGCTAGGAGGGGTCAAAAGAAAAAGCAGAATAAAGTTAATTGGATAGTTTTGACGAGGTTAGGCACATTGACATAAGACATGAATTAATGCATATCCTTGTAGATTAGGTAATTACACGTGGAAAACTACATGGAGAGGTCTTCGTCATGACTTTATAGTAGTTGGGAATTAACTAACTGAGTATTTAATACATATCCCACTTGTTATATATATTTGACTATTTTTCACTCATTTATGCCAATGAACTCTCCATAATTAACCCCCCCTCAAAGGAAAAAAAAAAAAAAAAGACTTTAATCAACGTCAAGCAGCCTCAGTGTCCTCTTAGAATTCAAACGATATAATCGGACGTCCCATAAAGTCTGATTCTCTTCTTCAGTCTCCGACGACCACAAAAATCAAACGGGTCAATATCACACTGGAAATTAAAAATCTGCTAACACAGATTGAGTTATAGTTAGTGGATTGATCAGTAATGATTTAGAGGTATAACAGGACAGGCTGAGGAATCTACTCCCTCCTGTTCCAACACTTGAACGACACATTAATTATTCATCTTTGTTCAATCTTCTAGTTAATTAGGATTGATTTTTGTTTGCGCACACAATTTAATTTCTGGTCGGTCTAATTCAAATATACTCGCTTCAACTTTTTTTTAAAAAAATCACAACTACTTCACTCGCAGCCTAATTGAAAAAAGCCTGACCAAACCATATGTAGTTGTCTCGAACAGGTTCAGTGAAGCCTAAAAAATAAAGCACGAAAAAGGATGGCACGAACGAAGTGATCGACCTTCCTGATATAGTAAAAGAAACGGACTCATTATGCACATATATACATGATTCAATGAATATTCTGAATTCAATCCTCCTGCTGAACTAAGTCTATTCCTTTACCTGAAAAACTTAAGAGCATATATTCATCAAGTTTATGTGCTTGGCATTTTTTATGTAACCTGGTCAAGATATTTTGTAATATACTATGGGCTATGCCAGAGAGGAGCATGTAAAGTGAAAGAATTCTCGGTCAACAAGTTACCTAGCCTAGCCAGGACCGAGCACATATCCGGTGGAACAAGGCATTGCCATTTGCCAATGGCTACATCTTTTTCTTACTTAGGCTGACACAATACCCCAATACTTAAGCAAACGTGTGTAGAGAAGCGTTCGGCATGGGTGTCCTCATCAACCAAATTAAAAGCATCTTTGAACAATATTAATAGGTCTAGCACAAAATCGTATTCCCCCGAGTTCAATACTTGGTGATAACATCGCCTTTTTCCTGGTATCATATTTTTATATCCAAGTTCAAAGGCCCCGCATTAATTATCTCCACCGAGTTTGGCTCTTTCTCTCAACCCCCCCCCCCTTTTTAAGTTCAATGCATAGAACCAAGACTCTCCGTACACATTTTATCCACTTTTGGGTGAGCTTTTAATTTGACCTTTTTCTTTTCGCTTTGCTGCTCTCAACTTTTCTCTCTATTTCGAGACCATGCTGTATATCTACAAGACTCAATCATGCACGTCGCAGCTTTTGTACCAGAGATAGATTATATATGAGATGTGGCTATGTATATATCGCAAGAGAGTTATCCGATCGGTACATTAGGTATACAATAATTTCAGAAAAGTTGGATGAATGAGAGTTTTAATTGTGCGAGAGGATCAATATTACCAGCCAGGACCACCAAAACAGATGAGGATAACTGAGAGTACAACAAGATATTGCCATCTGGGTCGTTATGGGAATGACGCGTTGGCTGAAGCATGGCCTTGGCTCATTGCTTTTCTCTTATCTGTGGTTAAGAATGGAGCATCACTTCTTAACGTCGTTGATTTTACCTAATGATATAGAGAAGACCACGTCACGTGGCTTCCTTTCATTCAAAGTTTGACTCTCTCTGATACTTACGTGTCTAGCTGGCTCCTAGTTAGCCTTTGCAGAAATCATTGTTCTCAGGAACACAATACCAGTGATATTGATTTTTTCTTTTTTCGTTCAAAGGTATTTTTCTTTTGATATAACAATTGGTGGCAAAATGATCGTTATATGCTCCAAGTAACATATATAGTCTTCGGAGACAAAAACATAGAAAATGTCATGGTCTTTAACAATAATGGGTGTGCCGTACGTAAGTTACTGATCCACGAGAACTAATATGAATGCTACCTACCTCGCATAGGACCGTGATTGAGCAACTTCTACTTGAATTCATACGCAAGTATTTCGTCATTCTTTGATCATAATAATAGATTGAGAGAATATGAATCTTGCTGGTTTAGATTAGAATAATGTCTCTCATTTGTGGTGAGCAAAACCAACTTATCTGCAGAAATGCATATATCAGTATTTGACAGGGCCAGGTTTTCTCAGAATTAATGGCGATGGAACAAAAGCCCTGATGGATGTACAGATGTGTGTAGGATATTTAATATTGAGCTCCGAGATTTACTTGTTATAATTGTTTTTGTTAACTAGGTTTTGGTGAATAGAATAATTACATGTGTATATCAGAAATATCTCATATGATGAGAAAGTTTCCTTTTGAATTAAGAAACACCAGAGTGGCGAGAATGGAAAGGACTGGTGTATGGACCACAGAGAGGGCACTAACGATATTTTGAGGCTATGGTATTTTCCAAATCCCAATCAAGGAAGTAATAAGTGGCAGTGCACAGAAAATTGAGAGAGATAGATAATTCCACTTGTTTCTTTACTTTCATGATTGCCAAGTGGACCAATCGGCGAAACCCACTTGTGGGGTCCTTGTAATTTCTGGCTGGAAATTCTGTGTTAGAGACGAATATGCTTTTTCAAATTTTATTTTTCTTGCTGGTTTGGTAAGGACTAATAAGCGAGGGGAGATCACTGAGGAGTGATTTTGATTGGGAATAAGAAGAGGGAGCATCTTCTTTTACACGAACATCCACGGGAACTCGTTAGTGGTGCGATTGATGATATGGAGAAAAGCAGGCCCCCCAGCAAAGTGCCATGGACACTGATTATTGGGTATTTGACTTTTCAATCCAATGCTCCATTTTCACATACTAGTCCCCTTGCCTTTTGTCTTTGTCTTTGTCCCTTTCTAAATGCTCTATGTCCCTTTTATCCTGTCTACATACATAATTAAACCATCCTTTCCTCCATCTCTCCTATAATTGCTGCTTTCTTTCCATTTTTATTGATAAAAATCTATCTCAGATATTTAACATCAATCTGTATGTATTTGGTCAGTTGTTCATTTATTATCGGTAACACAAGTTGCTGACCCACCTGTCCCTCCTCGTGCCATGGTATTTTTTTTTGGGACAGAACAGCTGTGGCTTTTATAATCTTATTCATGTACGTGGAAGTGGTGCAGTCAAAAGGGCATTTGGTAGAAGCTGAGCATGCAAAATTTGTGGCGTAGTAATGCTGATACAGAGGGCATTAGGACAAAGCTCATGCTGCCACTAATAATTGTGGGATTTGGGGGGGGGGGGCTGTGGGGGTCAGGTAGACACGTGTCGACAGGTCATCTGAAGGAGTGTGATCTCAGAGCACCGCCGCCATCAATGGGGGAAACGGACAAAATGGAAGTGTGGGCGTGTGAACATAGGGGCTGCTTTTGCTATGAAGCTGTGAGAGATGGACCCCGCTTTTGGAAATTTTAGAAACTGATCCCCCCCCCCCTTGCTCGTCCTGTGGTAATCTCCAATTGGCCCCACCACACGACAAATTTCCCACCTCCTTATAACCCCCTTCCCTTCTTCCCATCCCAAAACTTTCAACTCTCTCCTCTTCCTCTGTTGTGATCATAACATTATGGCCAGCCCACAGTCTAATTTACCTCCTGGTTTTAGGTTTCACCCTACTGATGAGGAGCTCATTCTCCACTATCTCAGGAAGAAGGTCGCCTCCATGCCCTTACCCGTCTCCATCATTGCCGAGGTTGATATCTACAAGTCTGATCCCTGGAACTTACCTGGTACTCTTTCTTCTTCTTCTACTCAATTGTCTCTCACACAGACATACATACATATATGGAGTTTTATGATGACCTGTTGATGAGTATTGCTTGTGTGTATAACAGAGAAGGCAGCGTTTGGGGATAAAGAATGGTACTTTTTCAGTCCCCGTGACCGCAAGTACCCAAACGGGGCGAGGCCAAACAGGGCAGCTGGTTCAGGGTACTGGAAGGCGACGGGCACTGACAAGACGATAGTGGCATCGTTGCCTGGAGGAGGAGCGACGGAGATCGTGGGGGTGAAGAAGGCCCTAGTGTTCTACACTGGAAAACCCCCCAAGGGCGTCAAGACCAACTGGATCATGCATGAATATCGCCTCCTCGACAACACCAGAAACAGACCTGTCAAGTTCCATGACTGCTCCATGAGAGTAAGTGATTCCCATCACGAAACCATTATCTGTTTGATTTTATTCATCGTCCCCTCATTTCTTCTTCCTTTCTGGCTCATGGCAGTTGGATGACTGGGTTCTTTGCCGAATTTACAAGAAGTCCAAATATGCAGAATCTCCCACTGCAGAAGCAGAAACGACCTTGGTGGCTGACCAAGATACCGCAGAAGAGCAGATATTGCCGAGCTCTCAATCTCCCTCTCCTCATCAAAACATTCTGATTCCTCAAAAATCAATGTCTTTCTCGAACTTGTTAGATGCCGCAGACTTCTCCATGTTGAGCAGCTTATTGTCTGACAACTATTCCACCCCACCTGGATTTGAATCAGGCGCAGCTGCTGCTAGTTCTAACTCTGAAACTATCAATCTGGATCAACAATCATCCCAAAACACTCACGCCAACAGCAGTTTCTTGCTTCAGAGGACCCCCCAATTAAATCCCTCCATCCAAAGCATGGAAAACAATATGCACAAGCGTCACATTTCAGGCCTGGATGAGGATATCTCATACCCATCAAAAAGGTATCTCAGCTCTGCTTCCTGCAGCTTCCCTACCAACAATACCAACCAATTCGAGAATCCACAGTGGAACTTCCTCCTCAAGCAGTCGTTGTTGAACCAGCAGTTACTTCCGGGGCCTCATCTTCGCTTTCAGGGATAAATCCAAACACTTCTAAAACAATTTTTTCAAGAACACTATCTTAGGTGAGATAAGTAAAATATCTAGAAGCTGAGCCCGCAGGGCAGCGCATCGTCTGATCCATCCGCTCCTTACGTATGGATTAGCACGAAAAGATATTAGGGGTCTCTTTTTTTTTTTTTTTGAAGGAGGTAGCTAGGGAATGAAATGGACAAGAGAACTGTTTAATTGATAAGGAACTGAAAGGGGAGATTCTGGCGTCATGAGTGAGGAGACTGTTTGGGGGGGGGTGGCGGATCAAAAATGATTCGTGCACAAAATTAATTAATGATCTTAATTTGTACGCGTTGGGCTGGCGGGTAAGCTTCAAAAGATACCTGTAGATAAGGGATTGCTGATTGTGAAATGTGATGATATGTGATTCTTTTCCAAGGAAAAGTCCTCAGTTTCTCTGTTTTAGAACTTGATTCTCAACATTATCTCACTATTTCCGTGCTTTGCTTTTGTCATGCAACCATGCGGATGCAAATCCGAATCAGAACCAAACAAATTAAAGAACATGCACGTTCTGCGAGCTAAGAGCACCGAAATATGACTGTGACTAACTAATAAATATAACCGAAGTACCCATGAAAGGGGAGGAGGCTGTGAATAAAAGAAGAGAAGAAGAGGAACGTGGAAAATGGGGAAATTATATTATGTATTGAGTATATTGGGCATGCATTAAGGAAAGCAGTTTCGGAGTTGCTAAGGTTGCATGAATGAGGGGCAAGTAATCCCGAGGGAGCGTGGTGGTGTGGTTGTTGAATAGTTTAAGTGAGCAGTAAACACATGGCATGGGTTCTTCGTGCCTCGGTTCCCATGCGTATTTCTATCTCTCCATTAATTAATTGCCTCCCCTACCCCACCCCTGAGCTCGCACTTGTCTCTTCGCCAAACCCTCTCTCGCACACGCTCTGTCCTATTCGTCATTCAATTTCAACTTATCATTCAATCTATCCTCACTTTGTCACTTTTGTTTTGTTCCATTATTCGACTCACACCCCTTCTTTTTTCCACCCACCAGATTCTTTAAACCAAACAATACAAATTAAGAAAATTAACATTAAAATTATTTTATAAGAAAAGAATCGTGTAAGAATATAATTACCATTCATTGAATTTTTGAATTCCATCATAAAATAAAATATGCCTCGACTAGGTAAGAGAGAGGGTTATAAATTTAACTATGAAATATATAAATAAACAAAACTTAAAACCTTCCTTGGCGGCCGCGACCCTTCATTGGTGGATTACTTGCAACAAAATTTCTATTTTTTTTTGGATTAAATAAATCCGCATCATCACAAACACGATCATCAACAGTTTATAATAAGACTCGACAGGATGGGGTTACTTAGAAATAAAAAAGCATTGGGCCTGGGGTGAAGCCCAACAAGACTGTTCCCAAAGCCCAAGAGGAGGGGGGAGGATCCAAGACGCGTGTCGTTCCTCGTGACATTGTCTAATTGGTTCTTGTTTAGGGATAATTACACAAGCTGATGATTGGGCGAGAATCATGAATGCCCACCGCTTACTCTCTCTTTAGAATAAGAACAACACACAGATTATGAAAAGCTTGTTGCGCAAATTGAACAACACAAGCGCTGTTGTGGTTCCATCAGATCTCTACCCATTTCAACGACCCCCTTCACAATTATGTCACTTAATTAACATGTTCAACGTCTCACCTTACCCAGTCCTCAACCACCAAGGCCCCCATTGAGAACACATTCAAACAAACCTCTTTTCATTTTACGAAATAAAACCTTTTCTTTAATGTAACGTAAAGTTATATTAAAAATACACAAACACCTGGCAAATGGCAAATGGAATAATAAGTTGCCCGCTCCTCTTGACGTTCGTGCGAGGCACGCCGATATCAGTTCAGACCCGCCCCTCACAATGCATACGCTGGCCACGTGTCCACTGATTTCGCACCAGAGGGGCCCACCGTGCTGATCACCATCACGCGGTCTGGTTTCATTTTCACATCGCCGTTCTGCTGTTCCTTTTCTTTCCTCTATCCCTCGCTCATTCGTGTCATCACAAGAAACTGAAAGAAATCCACTATGGAGTTCCCCTTTGGCCATCCCTCGCACCATCACTCCCACCATCACAAGAGGGACGATCAACCTGAAGATTACCCGCCACCGCCATCCAATTTCTCTGACCTCCATAATCCTCCTCCTCCTCCGCCCCCTTCGTTCTACGGCGGTGATCAGCCGCCTCCTCCACCCATACCTCACCCAGCTCAAGTCTACCACACTTCTCATGTTCCATCTCAACCACCTCCCTACAACTTTAACTACTCTGATCTCCCTCCTCCTCAATCGGGTCCCCTCCCCTTCAATTACTCATCCGAGGCACCGCCTCCGCCGCCCCGCGTTCCTGCTTACGCCCCCCGCCCGGCACCGCAGTATCTGTGCACCATGTTTCTCATGAAGTGGAGACGTATGAGACCCACCACACCAATCGCCCCCATTTGCCTTCCTTCGTTCATCATCATACTCATCACGAAACCTCTGCCACTGTCTCTTCCAACAGGCGCACTGTTAGGGTCTTCTCCAGGGCTGCCCCCAATTTCTCCCTTACCATTCGGGATGGCAATGTCGTCCTTGCTCCATCCGATCCCACCGATGACTACCAGGTAGCACTTACCCGCAACTTCGATTCTTACTGATACCTTGGATTTAGCTGCCGGCGTTTGAATTTGGGTATTCCTTTAGCTAGTGTTGTCAGCGTATATTGGGTCCGGCTCTTTGGAGTTTCTGCGTATCTAGGACATTCTTATTTTTCAATTCGGTACAAATTATGAAGATAGGATCATCCCTGAATTTGTTGACTGTCTGACTGACTGATTTGACTGTTCATGCTGTTCATTATTATTGTTGCAGCATTGGTACAAGGATGAGAAGTACAGCACAAGGGTGAAGGATCAAGAGGGGTGCCCCGCTTTTTCTCTGGTCAACAAAGCTACTGGTGAGGCCGTTAAGCATTCCATCGGCGCCACTCATCCGGTAACTTCTCTTTCTCATCAAAGTTCGATTCTTTTGCTGCGCCAGTCAAAGTTATTAGGGAAACCAATCAAGCCATCACATGAGCTAAAATGAATAATATCGCTGGACTGTTCAAAACCGTACCATTTCCTGATGTTATTCCAAGTACCTTTCTAGAATTTACAGTATTGTGTTGGCTTTTCCATTTCCAGCATAATTCGCTTGTGAACTCTGCCTTGACGACTTTTTCTTGATTAGTTGATGATGAGCTCCGTGCAGTTCTATTCATGTTCATTCGACCGAATAGCATGAGCAGTGGACTGTGCTGGTCCAATACTCAAATGTTGAATTCAAAATTTGATGAAATAAAAGTGTCGTATCATTTTCTTCCCTCTTAAAAAAAGAAAATTTATCCGCATCAATGTGCTTTCCGTACTGATTTAGGTCTTGGAATGTGATCAGTGATTTCTCTTGTGCATGCTCCTTCCTGTTGCGTCGTGAGAATAAGCAGAGGCCCTTTTTTTGCTTAAAAAAAGAGTCTTTCGTAAATGTCTTGCAGGTTCGACTGATACCTTACAAGTCTGATTATCTTGATGAGTCAGTTCTGTGGACTGAGAGCAAGGAGATTGCTGATGGTTATAGAGCTATAAGGATGGTTAACAATGTTCATCTTAATGTGGATGCTTTCCATGGTGATAAGAGGTCTGGGGGTGTTCATGATGGCACAACTATAGTCCTCTGGGAGTGGAACAAAGGTGATAATCAGCTCTGGAGGATCGCATCCTACTGTAAGTCTTTCCGAGACCTAAAAAGAAATTAAAAAAAAAAAAAAATCTTTCTACGTCTTCTACTTGCTTAATAACTAACTATAATATATTCCAAATTCCTTTACCACCATCCCTTCATTGGTAGCTTATAACCCTGATCGGAAATAGCTTCAGTTTTTATCAATGCTTGATAGAACTAGGATTTATCAACAATTGACTAAATCACTGGTGAGCAGTATTATGGGTTAAAGAAATAGCATTTATATTTATGGTGGTGATTAAATGCAGGAGAACGAACTAAATTTATTGGAGAGAATGCCGTGCCCCTCTGAAGGTGCAGTATCTTTATGAACTCAAGATGCGACGACTGCTAGCTCTGCTGTTTGAGTGACATTTATGTCTGGTATCTTATGCATTTACAAATGGTTTTTGCTGCATTTACATTTATCAATTACCTGTCTGTGTGTGACTGGTGGGAGAGCTGTAGCTGTGTGTACACATGATGCGTTGAGCTGTTACTGTTGCTACTGGGATGGAACTGGTGTTCACTAATTATTATTTCCGTTACCATCTTACTATTAAGCTGATACGTGCGGGTTAGGGTAAACCACTAATTTATCTTTATTTGTCAGAAACAGTTTTCGTAATTTTCTTTTTGAAAATTGATCATTAAGATATGAAATAACCAAATGAGGTTGGGATGGGAAGAGTTCATTCAGAGGATAGAAGAACTCCGATTTGATACAAAATACAAAGCAAATGTGTCATATACATGATAAGTCAAAATCCACGTGCATGTGTAGAACAAAGGAAAACATCAGCAAAACATAGAAAAATGAGCAGAGAGCTTTTGGAGATCATAGAAGATTGAATTAAGGCTACGTTTAGTAGAAAGTATTGAAAATGAAGAATTGAAATTGGAATTGCAACTGAGAAAATCTATCAAAAAAGTACTTAGTATAAGAAATTAATTGTTATATGGGATTAATCAAATCTATGTATGTGAGGTTGGAGAATACTATAAAGAGAAGTGGTATCTCTCAATCCCATCTCTATGGGTTTGTCTAATCGCATATATTAAGTAATTACTCATGCTAAATATTATTTTAATAATTTTTTTTAATTGTAATTCTAATCTCAATCTTTCATTTTTAATATTTTGTACCAAACGGGATCTAAGATCATTAGGAAAATAAAGTTTGTAAAATTTTCCTGTACCGCTCTGATACAATTCGTGTTTGAAATTTTAGACGCGCAAAAGCTGGTAATATGGTGCTTCAATTCACGTGACACGATGGGGAGATACAGAGAGACAGAGAGAGCTTGACTTTGTCAACCTTGAACTTCTTGCTTTTGAAACCGAGACAATCTGGTTGCTTCTACGCTAGCGTTCATGGCTTGGGAATGTTGTCTTCTTTCCCATTACAAGCGGCGATGGAGTCGGTCCTTTCCTTTGGATTAAATTCATTGAATTTTCAATTACTTATAATCTTCTGGTCCTTTGACTGTACTGCCGTAAATTCTGGACCTCTTTTCCCCCCGATATTACATCAGTTGTTATCATTTACTCTTCCGATAACTAATCAAGCAAGGTTCTCACGTGTCTCTTGTATCTGCAAGATGATCAAAACGAAAATTTTTCAGCATAACTTATAAA